GGCATGCGTAATAGTACTGACCCTCGGAGACTCAGTTACATCAGAGGAGGATCTAAATGGCCTGGGGCCTGGGCTCGGTGGGCTCACGTCATGATAATCCCAGGCAGCTTTGGGAGGCTGGGGTGGAGAAAGATTGCATGAGTTCAGGGGAGTCTGAGACCAGCCTGGCTCGGTGTGTGGTAACCCTGTCTCTTGCTAAAAATACAAAAATTAGGCCGGGCAAGGTGGTGGACGCCTGTACTCCGCTATTTTGGAGAGGTGAGGTGGGAGGATTGTGCTTGAAGGCTTAGGAGTCGAGGCTGCCGTGAGGCTGAGATCGACACACGCACTCCAGCTGGGTGACAGTGAGAGATCCTGTCTCAAAACAACCCCAACGACAACAACAAAAACAAAAACAGAAACAAAACAGAAACAAAATGGGGCCCTGGTGCCACGCTGTCGCAGGCTGGGGCAAGTGTGGCTGTTCCCCGGCCGGGGGGCCTGTGTGACCTCGGCCCCTCACACTCTCCAATCTCCAGCGGCAGGGTCTCACAGCACTTCCCCACGCTGACGGGGTGCGCTGCTGTCTGCTGCGGTTCTCCGCCAGAGTCTGCCCGTCCCGGTCTCCACCCCGGCCCTGGGACTCTACTTCCCATGGCCGCTTCTGTGTCTCCATCTGTCATCGCTCCCCGTCTGTCCTGCATTCCACGTCCTCCCTTCGGTCCTCCGTCTCCCGCACTGCCCGGCCGCCCTCACCTGGGCCTCCACTCGCTGCCCGCGCCCGGCCGCCCGGGCCCGGCCTCGGCGTGGCGAGCTGCAGGCGGCACGCGGCGGGGCCTGCGGGCGCCGGCGGGGCGCGCGGGCTCGGCGCGCTCTCCGGGAGCCGGGCGCGGGGCGCGCTGGCCCCGCGGCGGCGGCGCGACCAGCGGCTTCGCGTTCGGGACTAGGAAAGGAGGAGTAAGAAGGACCAACTGAGGCAGGAGAAGGGAAGCCACAACACTTTCACTCCCCTTTCCCCTCTACCTTCTATCTCTTTCCTAATCACACTTTTCCAGCTAGCTGCCTCTGCTCAAAGACCTACTGTGGCTCCCTCTTCACTTTCAGTTAAACCGAAGCACTCACTGGCCTGTGGACCCCCCCATATTTTGGCCCTGTTTCTCCTGCCTCTCTGCACTAATGATGTCTCTCAGTCCACAGATGGCCAGTAGGTCCCTGTTCCTGCTCTTCTCTTTACCAGGAGGGCCCTTGGCTGTCTTCACACCGCCCAGAAAACTTCTCACGTGTTTAAGATTTAACTCAATTTCTCTGGCCTTCTCTGGGTGTTCATATTGTCTGAGCGACCTCTCTTGCTGCTTGTATGACCATGTGCTGTGTCTACGTGGTTACTGTCTCTCCCACCTGACAGGGAGTGCCTTGAGGGTAAGACCTAGGTCCCTAGTGTCCTTGGTCCTAGCGTTGCCCAGCAAAAAGTGTGAAATCAGGAAAGGTTGATGGTTGGGTAGGGAGGTGGAAGGATGGATGGATACATAGATGGAAGAATGGATGACTGGATGGCTGGATGGGTAGATGGACGGGTGGATGGATGGATGGATGAGTTGATTGATGGATGGATGGGTGAATGGATAGATGGGTGGATGGGTGGATGGGTAGATTGATGGATGGGTGGGTGGATGAGTTGTTTGATGGATAGATGGGTGAACGGATGGATGGGTGGGTGAACAGATAGATGGGTGGGTGGATGGATGGGTGAATGGATAGATGAGTGGGCGGTGGATGGGTGAATGCATGGGTTGGTTGATGCTGAGCTGTGGTTGGATCGATGGCTGGATGGGTTGTTTAATGGGTAGATGTGGGTAGGTGGTGGATTGGTGAATGGACCATGAATGGATATGGTTGAGGAGGGAGGCTTGCCTGATAAAGGGACAAGAGCCTTTCCTGATATTTCTCTGTGTCCTCGGCCTCACCCATGCAGCATGGTACTGGGGAGGTCTCAGAGACTCCTACTGAACAAAAGGAATGAGGGTGCCTGTGTCACTTCCCCGGGGCACCTTAACTTGCGGTTACACTTGGGAACTCCTGGGGGCAGGGGCATCGGCTGGTCCGTAGGACTATCCATAGGACAGTCAGGGTTCGCCTAGCTTGTGCGTGCTCTCTGGATAGATAGGTAGATGATGAATGGGTGGTTGGACAGATGGTTGAGGCTGAGTGATAGGTACACAGATGAGTGGATGAATGCATTTATTGGCACATGGATGGATGGGTGACTGAATCCATCTCTCAAATAGGGGTTTGGTAAAAGAATTAAACTCTACTATCTTAGGACATTTTATGTAGGTAAATAATTAACTTTTTTTTTTTTTTGAGACGGAGTTTCACTCTTATTGCCTAGGCTGGAGTGCAATGGCACAATCTCGGCTCACTGCAACCTCTGCCTCCCGAGTTCAAGCAATTCTCTTGCCTCAGCCTCCCAAGTAGCTGAGATTACGGGCATGCGCCACCACACTCGGCTAATTTTGTATTTTTAGTAGAGACGGGATTTCTCCATGTTGGTCAGGCTGGTCTCGAACTCCTAACCTCAGGTGATCCGCCAGCTTCAGCCACCCAAAGTGCTGGGATTACAGGCATGAACCACCACACCCAGCTAGAATTAACTTTTCTCCTATGCATCCAGAATGCTTCCAGTTATATATTATTCTTTGTGAGATTTGAAGAAGTAGTCACCCCAGTTATACGCTACATGCTGTGGTTCAGTGGAGGAACTGGTGTAAGAAAGCATGAACATCTGTTTGCATAGGTGAAGCGTAAGCTAACATGAAGCTTGACATAAAATGCAAAAGTAAGCACCTGTAGTTACTGTTACTTTTGGAAATCCTGGCTGAGCACAGTGGCTCATGCCTGTAATCCCAGCACTTAGGGAGGCCGAGGTGGGAGAATTGCTTGAACCTGGGAGGCAGAGGCTGCAGGGAGCCAAGATCAAGCCACTGCACTCCAGCCTGAGCAGCAGAGCGAGACCCCATCTCAAAAAAAAAAAAAAAAAAAAGAAAAGAAAATCCCTTATGAGGTCGGGCATGGTGGCTCACACCTGTAATTCCAGCACTTTAGGAAGTCGAGGCAGGTGGATCACCTGAGGTCAGAAGTTCGAGACCAACCTGGCAACCATGGCGAAACCCCATCTCTACTAAAAATACAAAAATTAGCCAGGCGTGGTGGTGGACACCTGTAATCCCAGCTACTAGGGAGGCAGAGGTTGCAGTGAACCAAGATCGTGCCACTGCACTCCAGCTTGGGCAACGGAGCGAGACTCCATCTCAAAAAAAAAGAAACGAAAATCCTTTACGTAGCTTAAACATCTAGCACAGCTGCACAGGCCTCCACTCTTGGAGCCTCCACCAAAGACTCAGACCACACTGACTCAAATGTAGGCCCCACTTACAAGGAAAATGGGCCTATTGAAAACCAAAAACTCTTGCTTACTGGGGAAAGCGAGCAGCTTCCAGCACATGAAAGACAGAGAATCTGAATTTGAGCAGAGGGACCCACAGGTTCTAGCTCTGGTAGCCCCCACAGCCTCTGAGACCACCATGAGTAGCCAGGCAGAGCCACCCCCATCGCTCTGTTGTCCAGGCTGGAGTGCAGTGGTACAATCACAGCTCACTGCAGCCTCGACCTCCTGGGCTCAAGCGATCCTCCCACCTCAGCCTCCCAAGGAGCTGGGACTACAGGTACCAGAGACGGGGTCTTCCTGTGTTACCCAGGCTGGTGTCAAACTCCTGGGCTCAAGTGATCCTCCTGCCTGCAGCCAGAATGCTGGGGTGAGGGTCTGAGAGGAGGGCCACCATGCCTGGCCTCCCTCTGCCTCTGTCTTCTCTGTGTCTGCCTGTCTCCCTCTCTCTCTCTTTGTCTCTGTGTCTCTGTCTCCCAGGTCTCTTTCTTTGTCCCTGTGCTTCTGTCTTTCCCCTTCTGCTTGTCTGCGTCTCCCTCTCTCTTTTGCATCTCCCCGTTTCTGCCTCTCCCTGGCTTGCATTCCCAGTCTGCTACCCATGGATTCCAGTGTGTTAACGGCACACACGCATGCACACACTTAGCAAATGGGGGCATGCAGGGACGAAGGAACAAGTGTGTGGGTCCATGTGAGGGGCAAGGGTGGGTGGATAGGGCTCCCTGCCTCTGCCTCCCAGGCAGAGAGCCCGGAACACAGGGATGCGGGGGGTTCCTGAGCCGTCACTCACTCCACCCTCCCTCCTGCAGACAACCGCTCGGCTCCAGCTGTCAGGACCGGACTGCAGTGTGCAGCTGCCTCTATATCCGTGGCCAGCAGGACGCTCCCTGTCCCCCCTCCCTCCTCACTTGGATAAAAAGCAGATTTGCCTCAGCGCTGCATGTTTGTCTGGGAGAGGGACCCTGCTGGGGTGGGAACGGAGACAAGATGGCTTGCTTCCTTCTAGCACCCAGGTGGGCCTGGCCACACCTGAGGTGAGGCTGCCCCTGCCCTGGGGAGACCGGGAGCCCTGGGGATATAGAAGCCCAGCCTTATACTGGCCCCTTCTCAGAGGGGACCAGGGAGGGGCCCAGGGGATAAGGATCTCAGCCCAGACCCCTCCACTCTACCCCGACATCGCTGTGTGAGTTTGGGTTCTGTGAGAAGCAGACACGGAGACAAATTGGACTTGCAAGATATTTATTGGGGAAACACTTTTGAAGGGTAGCTTGGTGCAGGGAGAGGGAGGGAGGGATGGGTAGGATGAGTGTTAGACTGTAGCGAACCTCCAGGAAAATTGCCACTGGCCACTGGGGAGTTGGGAGCTGAAGTCATCGTCCATGAGGGAGGCCCTTGCCCTTTGAGAAGGCGCCTGTGCCCGGAACCCCTACCCCTTGCCTCGCCATGCTGTTACTGGTGGAGAGCAGCCCATGGTAATCTAGGTGTATCCGGGGTGGCGGCGGGGGGGGATACTGTCGGTCACTGGCACTCCATGGCTGTGGCATGCTCCTGCCCCTGCCCAGTCCAGGCACCCCTCAGACCCCGCCACCCCCACATATCCCCAACTCCCTCATTTCAGACCCGCACTCCAGCACTCGTACACCTCTACCCCCTCAGTCCAGGGCTCCCATGATCACAGCCCAGGACACCCCCATGAGCGCAGATCCCCCTCAGCTCAGATCCTCCCCTCTTACCTCCCAGATCTCTCTCATTCCAGGGTCCCCCTCAGCTCACACCCCCATGGCCACAGCCTGGGGCCCCCTGAGCTTCCATCCCCAAACCCCCTCCAGCCCCCACCTGTTACCCTTGCCTCTGTGTGCGCCATGCGCCCTGCTCCCCACAGCTCTCAGAGACGAGAACACGCATCCGTCCACCATATCTGTATTGAGCAGTCCCCGGGGGACGCCCCTAATCCTCGTCTTCCTCGCCCTCCGTCTCCTCACCCTCTTCTGTCCCTTCCCCCTCGGTGGCCCCCTCCGCATCCTTGGAGTCTTTGGACAGGGCGACCGGCACGCTGCCCGCAGACGGCGTCTTCTTGGTCCCTCGGTGCTTGGAGAGCAGCGAGACTGACTTGGACAGGTCGCACTGACCCGCCAGGAAGCCAGGCATGTGCAGCACGTCCCGGCGCTTGGCCCACCTGCAGGGAGCGGACGGCTCAGCCCCTGCCCGCGGCCGGACCCTCCCCTTGGGGGTGCAGGCGCCCGCCCCATCCCAGGCCCACTCGCCAGAACAAGCAGATGCTGCAGCTCAGGAGGAGGAGGCCGCCGCACGCCCAGCCCAGCGCCCACATGTGCTTCCTCCGCATGTTTTCTGGACAAGGGAGGCAGGGTTCAGACCCGGGGCTCCCGGCCACCACACCCATGCCCCAAGGACCTGGGACCAGGAGCCCTCACCGTCTGGGCGCTGGTGGTAGCAGACCCCATCACGGTAGCAGCACCGGAGGCGCAGGCAGAGGTTGGGGCTCTCGATGGCCGCCTGGCCCCCGCAGCTCTCCCGGTCCCATATGTCACCCTCACAGCCTGGGGACCAACCGCCAGTGGCTTCATCACCAGCTCCTCCTCCTTCAGACCCAGGGGTCCAGGCCCCCAGCCCCTCCTCTCTCAGACCCAGGAGTCCAGGACTAAGTCCCTCCTCCCTCAGACCCAGGGGTCCAGGCCCAGCCCCTCCTCCCTCAGACCCAGGAGTCCAGGCCCCCAGTCCCTCCTCCCTCAGACCCAGGAGTCCAGGCCCCCAGTCCCTCCTCCCTCAGATTCAGGGCTCTGATCTGGGCTCCTCTCTCTGGGCGACCCAGTATTTCAGCCGCTGCTCACTCCATGGATAGAAGAATCCCTGGATTCCATTTCCGTCTGTGAGAGAAAGGCCAGTGTTAGGGCTGTGCAGGGCCGGGCGCCCCTCCTCAGCTCCCCGGCCTCACCAGCCCCTCACCTGCCGAGCCCTGCAGGAGCAGAAGCAGGCCCAGCGCTGGGATCCCAGAGCCCAACATGTCGCCTCCCCAGACCCCTGGGGTCGCTGTGGGAAGAGGCCTTACGGGACATCACCCCAGTAACCGGCCGCGCCCGCCTGCCCGCCAGGCCCCAGGATTCTGAGTTCTGTTGCTAGGGAGTCCCCGTGGCAACGGGAATGAAGGGGGGTGGGGGGGCTTCACACCAGCCTGGCCATGCCTGGTCTAGGGTGTGGATTCTTTAGGTACCTGGTGGGAGCGGGGGGGCGTCTCAGGTTTAGAAGAACCTCCTTGGCAACTTACGGCAGGGATGAGAAGTCTGGGAGGGCGCGGGGGGTCTGGGGTGTGTCTCCACATCACCCAGGGTGCCCTGAGGGGTGGGGAACTGGGAGGTCTTGCGAGGGAATTCCTTTCCTTAGGAAAGTGATACCTGAGAAGGTGGATTCGGGTGGCCCGAAGGCTCAGGAAACCCCGTTGCTAGGGAGTGTTTCGCCTTAGCAACCAGGGGAAGGGGGGCTGGGAGACACAGAGGCCTCACTGAGCCCCATTGTTGGGGAAGGTCCCCCCCCACCACCCCGGCAACAAGGAGACCTTGGAAGGAGATGAGACGATGGGGGCCGGAGCCTAAGTCCAGGGGACCCCGAGAGGCTTTTCGTCTCAGGCATGCCAGGCCTGCTGTCTAGGGAATGTTTAGCAGGGAAGGCCATAGGGCTGGGCGCGGTGGCTCATGCCTGTAACTCCAGCATTTTGGGAGGCCGAGGCAGGAGGATCACCTGAGGTCAGGAGTTCGAGACCAGCCTGGCCAGCATGGGGAAACCCCGTCCCTACTAAAAATACAAAAATTAGCTGGGCGTGGTAGTTACTTGCCTATAATCCCAGCTGCTTGGGTGACTGAGGCAGGAGAATTGCTTGAACCCAGGAGGTGGAGGTTGCAGTGAGTCGAGATCGTGCTACTGCACTCAGCCTGGGTGAAGGAGTGAGACTCTGTATCCAAAAAAAACAACAACAAAAAAATCAAAACACACACACACACAAACACAAACAAAAACAGGGAAGGGGACAGGCCATGTGGCCCCTGCTGAGATTTGAGGGCCTGGTGGGCTGGAGCTGCTCGGAGACTATGATGGTGGCTCCTGGGCAGGGAACCTCCATATCCCTCCTAGATCTGTTTCCCCATTTGTGAACAGAGGTTAGAGAGTGGAGGGAGGGAGTCAGCCAAATGGAGATCCTGACGCTTCCACATTGATTCCCACCCTCCGCTCCCCAATGACTGGGAGGAAACTTGGCTTCCAAGAGGAGGAAGCCGGACTGAGGGACTGGGTTGGGACCATAACCCCTAGTGCACCCCAAATCATCCAGTCAGCTTTGCAGCACAGTGAGAAGGGAGTCTCAGCTCCCCTGGGACAGTCTGTGGGCTGGAACTGCTGCATCTGAGGGAAACGGGGGTTGGAAACTCAGACACCTGCATTAAAGGGAGAAGGGACTGGGGCCTGGACTCCTGGGTCTGAGGGAGGAAGGAAAGGGGGCCTGGACTCCTGGGTCTGAGGGAAGAGGGGCTGGGGGCCTGGACTCCTGGGTCTGAGGGAGGAGGGGCTGGGGTCCTGGACTCCTGGGTCTGAGGGAGGAAGGGCTGGGGGCCTGGACTCCTGGGTCTGAGGGAGGAAGGGCTGGGGGCCTGGACTCCTGGGTCTGAGGGAGGAGGGGCTGGGGGCCTGGACTCCTGGGTCTGAGGGAGGAGGGGCTGGGGGCCAGGACTCCTGGGTCTGAGGGAAGAGGGGCTGGAGGTCCCAGACTTCTGGGTCTGAAGTAGGAGGAGCTGAGCGCTGGACTCCCAGGTCTGAAGGATGGGGCTGGGAGCCAGAATTGGGTCTGAGGGAAGAAGGCCTGGGGACCTGGACTCCTGGGTCTGAGGGAGGAGGGGCTGGGGGCCTGAACTTGTGGGTCTGTGTGGATGGTCCAGGATCCAGACCCATTTCTCAGGAAGCCCCATGGGGTGACTCCCTGTGTTGCCCATCTCTCCTGTAAACATCCTGGTGGGTACTGAGTGGGCCCCGGGCTGCCTTCGTCAGAGATGACACAGGTTAGAGGGGTCTCTGCAGGGGGCCGGGGGTGGGGGTCAGAGGGGTTGTGGGGCTGAGGCCCGGCAGCTGCTGACCGTTTCCTGTGTCAACATCATCTGGACCCACTTCCCAATTCCCGGGATTCCTCAGGGATCAAGGAGGGGGTGGGGGGTGGGGCCGCCTGGCCTTGGACCGCGGCTTGGGACTGGGGGGGCCCCCGCCGTCACGGCCCTCACCGCTAATGACAGGTTTGGGCTGCCTCTGTGGCCAGCCTGCCCCGTCACCCCCCAGAGGCCAGACAGGACCCCCCAGGGACTGACAGACGGACACACACACAGCCTGGGACCTGCTGACCTCACACCCTGCTGGCTCAGCTTCCCCCCGGGGCCGCGCGGGAGCCAGGACTCCCTGGTCATCCCCCACGTCCCCGTGGCTTCTCCCCAGTGTCTCTGACCACCCCAGGCTTTGTGCCCCGGCTGCCCAGTCTGTTTCCGAGCCCCCAAGCTGGTCTCTAGCTTCCCCTGGGTTCCACAGCCCTGGCTGCTTCCTGGGGCCTTTGTCGCCCCTGTCTCTCCAGCTCTGTTTGTCTCTGTCATCTGTCACTTTCTTGGGATTCCCTAGTCCTGCCTCTGGGTCTCTTTTCCGATCTTCATCTCTTTCTCTCTCTCTTTCTCTTCTTTTCACAGAAGTAGCCCAATGTGTCCCACCCTGATCTGGGCAGACCCAGGAGTTGCCAATAACTCCCAGCCCCGCCACTCTGCACCCGCCCATCTACCTGCACCTCCTGCAGCCACGCTGTCGGGATGGAGTCTGAGCCCACAACCCAGGGCTGGGGACCCAGACAAGACAGGAAACTGGCAGCAGCTGGGACCCCGGATTCGTCCCAGACCCATGACCTTCCCCATACATGCTCCCCAAAGTGTAGAAGGGCCACAAGATTCTCCTCTACTGGGCGGGGGCTTCCTGAAGGAGGAGGCTGGGGCCCTGGACTCTCCTGGGTCTCGAGCGAGGCAGGACTGGGGGCCGGACACTTGGTCGGAGGGAGGGAGGAGCTGGGGCTGACTACTTGGTCTGAGGGAGGAGGGCCGTGGGGATTGACTCTTGGGTCTGAGGAGGAGGGACTGGGGATCTGGACTCCTGGGTCTGAGGGGGAGGGGCTGGGCGCTGGACTCTGGGCCTCTGAGCGGGAGGAGGGCTGCGGGGGCACTGGATCCTGGGTCCTGAGGGAGGAGGGCTGGGCCTGAACTCTTGGGTTCTCGAGGAGGAGGCCTGGGGGATCTGGACTCCTGGGGTCTGGAGGGAGGAGGGGCTGGTCCTGGACTCCTGGGGTCTGAGGGAGGAGGGGCCTGGGGATCCTGGATCTCCTGGTCTGGAGGACGGAGGGCCTGGGATCCGGACTCCTGGGGGCGTCTGCAGGAGGAGGTTTGGACTGACTTCCTGGGTCTGAGGGAAGGGAGGGTTTTGGGATCCTGGACTCCTGGGGTCCTGGGAAGGAGGGCTGGGGGCTCTGGGACTCCTGGTCTGAGGGAGGAGGGGGCCCTGGGGCCTGGACTGGGATCTGCGAAGGAGGAGGGCTGGGGACCCTGGACCCT